GAAGTATGTAGATTTTTCCTAACATATGCCTTTGGTTGGGTTGCTCTGTGATGTGTCCCTCCACCTTCATACTTCCAGCAATCCTCTTTCCTCTACTGGAGGGGTATCAGGTTTATTTTCATTTCCTGTTCCATCTGCTCCATCTATTTGGCTGTCTGGAACAGGGGATTCATCTTCTGCTTATTACATGCTGCTGGCTGGTGTAGTGTTAGTTTTCCTAAAATACATGTGGAATCGAAGTTAGTCTGTCTGAACTGACGCCAGAACCATGTGTGATCAGCACCTGGCCAGATCCAGCTAGGACGGAAGGAATAAAAGAAGTGCGAGATGTCAACAGTCTGGCTTCTGGAAACAGAAGGCTCTGAACACACCAGGTTCAAAGAAGGAATTGGAAACACTTCCAACAAACACTGCCAACAGAGTATGGCAACTCTGGGTTTGAATTCTGGCTCAGCCACTTTCTCATTGGGTGATCTTGGGCAAATTACTAGATCTCTCTGAGCCTTCTCCTCATCTGAGAAGTGGATATAACAATATGCATTGATCACGAGGTTGTCAGGATATTAAAATGGCTGCAAAGTCTTTGTCACTTCTTTACAGAGAGGATAGGACTAGAACCCCTCCCTGGAATCTGGGCTGGCTTGGGACCACTTTGACAATAGTTTAGGACAGAAGTGATTCACGACTTTCCTGGTGAGGTCATAAGAGGTCATGCAGCTGCCAACTGACTTCATTTTCTGTGGCTACTGTAAGGAATTTCTGCAAACTTAGTAGCTTAAGAGAACACAAATGTATTATCTCACAGTTCTGCAAGTCAGAAAGCTAATGTGGCGTGGCATGGCCACATTCCTCTGAGCTCTTGGGGAGAATCCATCCCCTTGCTTTTTCCAGTTTTTAGAGACACCTGCATTCCTTTAGATTAGCTGCTGGTCCGTCCTCAAGGTGCTCTGACCTCTCATCATCCCAGCTCCTTCTCTGACTCAGACCCTCCTGCTTCCCTCTTGTAAGAACTCTTATGATTACAATGGGCCCATCCAAATAATCCAAGTGGATAACTCCATCTCATGATCCTTAACTCAAACACATCTGCCAAGTCCCTCTTGCCATGTGAGGTAACATATTCATAGGTTCAAGGGGTTAGGATGTGGATATCTTCAGGGGGGTGCATTATTCAGCCTGCCTCTCTGTGCCTCAGTCTCCTTGCCTTTGAAATGGGGGTTAATAGTCGTACCCACTTCTGAGGTTGTTGCAAAGAATAAATGAGATCATATGTGCTTGGAGCTGGGCTGGGCACTAGGGAGGGCTCAGAAGTATTAGCTTGTTGGCTTAGTTTAGAATCCCCCAGAAGATGACTCTGAGACATCCTAGTTAGTCTGGGAAGTTAAGGAACAGTGGTGGGGGGTGATAAAGAGAAGGAAGGACATAAAGGGTGGCTGCTATGCCAGCTGCTGTGGCAGGTAACCAGAGGTCAAGTCTGTTGGGAGACTCTGGGAAGCAGGACAGGCACACACCAAGGACAGAGGGCGCTGGGGTATTTGTGCTCCATTTTCTCTCAGGCATTGTCTGAGGGCTGTTCCTACAGGACATTAACTCCATGGCACTCCCAGTCTGGCTCATGCAGGCCAGAAAAGGTGAGATGATCTGAGGTTGTGGAGGAGAGTTGTCACATCCAGCCAGGGTTGCTAAAGGCGCAGCCCCCCAACTCTTGGCACCTGCTAAGGCCACTCAAGCCTTCAGAGGTAGGGGACTCCCAAAGACAGCTGTGAACTTTTGTGCCATGGGTCACCCCCATCTCATTCCCTTCTTTCATAAGGCATGAAAGAAGCCTCAGTGGGCAGTGGCCAAAACAAGTCAGGGTCCCCGAGGAGGCCGATGAACTGCCAGTGCCCTGCTGGCCTCAAGAGGCAGGAAAGTCCAATGCAAAGTCATTCTGGTGGAAGGAGGTTTATTGTCAGAAGATCAGAGGGTGCCTCCAAATCAAAGGCAGGATAGAGCTGGTCTCATGGGCCTGAGCACACCCTCAGTGCAGCTTCTCTCCTTTCCCTGAACTCAGATGAACCACTTCATACCCCACACACTGTGTGACCTCCTTTGTCCTGTTTCCTCATCTCATTCTCATATACAAGTATGATGACACTTTTCTTCCTGTGGGAACACAGTGTGGCTTTGTGTGTGTTGTTTTACACGTGGTATATATGCTGCATGTGGATAGGATATAGAGCTATATATGTTATAATGTTTATTATCATCATTTTCTCAAGCTCTGTCCCTAAGGGGAGAAAATGGCTGTCCCAAGTCCCTGCTTTGTGTCTCAAAGTGAGCTACCAGAGGGTACCCGACTGATTTCAAATCCTGAAAACCAGTTCTCCTGGTGGAAGCCTGTTGGTGCCAGTCTTGGACATGTTCTGGAATGTTCATGGAAATGTAATGTTCATGGAAATGGAATCAGATGTTACATGGTCTTTCATGTTCAGCTTTTGCTCAGTATCATGAATTTGAAATTCATCCCAGTTATTGTGTAGATCAAGAGTTCATTCTATTTTTTTAATTTAAAATCAATTACTTAACATATATTGTATTACTAGTTTCAGAGGTAGACTTTAGTGATTCAACATTCTTATATAACCCCCAGTGGTCATTGTATCACCTGCCCTCTTTAATGCCTATCACCCAGTTACCCCCACTCCCCTCCCCTCCAGCAACCCTGTTTGTTTCCTATAGTTAAGAGTCTCTCATCTCAGTTTGTTTCTCTCTCTGATTTCTATTTTATTGCCAAGTGGTATTCCACTGTATGGATGTTCCACAATTTGTTTCTCCATCTTTTAATGGACATTTGGATTATTTCCAGGTAGAGTTGTCATAAATAATGCTACGGACACACAAATAAAGCTCCAAACATTCATTCTCAAGACTGTGAGGGCTCTGTCTCAGCTCTGAACTGTGGTTTCTGCTATTTGGGGGATGGCCCCATTGTCAGTGACTGAGCTTGGTGGGGCTGCTGGAGACTGGGCATTTCTGTTCAACTTGAGACTTCTCCAAGAGGCTTTCTTCGCTCTGGAACTCCTCACTGGTGGCTGGGATGCCAGCATATCTGGGTGTGGTTTGCTCCCCCATTTCCTTTCCTGTCACAGGCATGTCTCCCTACCAAAACCCTTGTATAGCCCACTCAGTCTCAATGTCTGCTTTCCAGAGAATCCAGCCTGAGACATATGTAAAGTGCTTGGAAAAGTACCTAGAAAACGGTAAGTGCACTGAAAGCATTGGTTTATCACTGTGATTTCTTTTTTAAAGATTGTATTCATGAGAGACACAAAGAGAGAGGCAGAGACGTAGGCAGAGGGAGAAGCAGGCTCCCTATGGGGAGCCCAATGCAGGACTCAACCCCAGGACCCCGAGATCATGACCTGAGCCCATGGCAGATGCTCAACCACTGAGTCACCCAGCTCCCCCATCATTGTGATTTTTATGCAGAGATGGGCATGCAGATTCTGGGGCTGTAGGCCTGGGTTCAGTTTCAGGGCATAAGAGCCCCCTCTGAGTGGTGAGCAGCATTGCTGGGGCCTGCCTCACCTGGGCCTATCCACTGAAGGCTTTTCAGGGGCCCCCATGGCTCAATCCTAAAGGAAGAGGTGTGAAGGAGGGTTGGGGTCAGAAGTCCAAGCATAATTCCTCCACTCTCTTTGTTCTGACCTCAGCGCCCAGCCTGGAGCTATTGTCACTGGAGGAGGCAAGAATTTTGAAAACAATCCAGGTGTTTGGGGATCCCTGGGTGCCTCAGTGGTTTAGCGGCCTGCCTTCAGCCCAGGGTGTGATCCTAGAGCCTCAGGATCGAATCCCACATCAGGCTCCCTGCATGGAGCCTGCTTCTCCCTCTGCCTGTGCTTCTGCCATTCTCTCTCTCTCTCTCTCTCTCTCTGTGTGTGTGTGTGTGTGTCTCATGAATAAATAAATAAAATCTTTAAAAAAATGAAACAAAAACAATCCAGGTGTTCATGATGAAATGGGGCTAGATGCTTTTATTACTGAACCAAGCCCTTGGGACAAAAGGTGGCAGCAAGCCCTTTTATTACCCAAGAGGATCTGAAACATAAGAGCCCTGCCTGAAGTTTCATCCAAGGAGCATGGAAGAATGGGCTGCCACAGTAGCCCACGTGGACCAGGAGGAAAGAACAGACGTGGGGTCAGCTTGTGTCCCTGGAGTCCTGACACCTCCACCTGGGAGACTCAGTAGTTCCACAGGTAAGTGTGCAGCCCCTGCCCCAATATTTCAGGCCCCAAATCATTAGGTGGGACAGATCAACCAGGCAGGGTTGAGAGGAGACTCTAGGCCCAGAGTAGGGAGTCAAAGCCCACCTAGGGTGAAGGCAGTATTGATGTGTGGGTGGGGGGACAGGGGAGAGGCACAGGACACATTTACTCACATCACACAAGAGGGCTGATCAAGCATCCAAATGAACTCAGGATATTGGGAGCTGGGTTCCAGGCTCTCAGAGCAAGGCGGCATAAATGAAGCAAGAGAAAAAGCTGGAAGGACACTGTGGCCCTGACTGGGACTGGTGGTCTCAGGGTAAATTGATGGTTTTTCAGCAGGTAGTCAGAGACACAAAAATCAAGACTGACATAAATGTGGGCTAAGTGACACTGAGCGTGCAGACCCTGGTCTTGAAGAACCACTCAAAGGAACCAGGGCTCTTTGAAGATACGGCTCATCCTGAGGACAGGGCAGCGAAAGTTCAAAGTGGGCCTGGAACATCTTATTGTGCCAGAAAGCAAGGAGAGATGGCATCAGTTTGAAAGGCAGTTGAACTATTCTGGGCAAGTAAGGGATATTTTTAGCATCAAAATAAATGAGCATTTGCTAAGGGCTGATGTAACAAAGGACCACCCACTGAGTAAGTTGAACAACAAAAACAGATTGTGTCCTTGTCCTAGAGTCCCAGATCAAGGCCTGGGCAGAATCTGTTCCTTCTGAGGCTACAGAGGGAGAATGTGTTCCCTACCTCACTTCTGGCTTCTGATGACTTGCAGACAGTCTATGGCCTTCTGGGTGATGTAAAATATCCCTCCAACCTCTGCTTTCATGTTCACATGGCGTTCTCCCTGTGTGCATGTCTATGTCCAAATTTCCCCGTTTTATAAGGACACCAGTCACGTTGGGTTAGGGACCCACCCAACTCCAGTATGATCTCATTGTAATTAATCATACTTGCAATGACACTATTTCCAAATAAGGTCACATTTTGGGGCACTAGAGAGTTAGGACTTCCGTATATGAACTTGGGGCTGGGGATGGGACACAACTCAACTCTCCACAGATAGTAACAGATATAAGTAACAGATATATTTTATTTTACTGAATAAAACAGGAAGCCACAAGTCCATACTGATATATAAATAATACTGATTAATAAAATTAATAAAGTGAAAGTATGATAAGGAATAGGATATTTACAGTCTCAGATTAGCTCCCCACAAATGAGTAATTCATTACAAAGTAGGGAAAGGGGAACCTTTAAAGAGGCCCTATCTGCCTGGGTGGCTCAGTAGCTGAGCATCTGCCTTTGGCTCAGGTCATGATCCTGGGGGTCCTGGGATCAAGTCCTGCATCAGGCTCCTCTGCAGGGAGCCTGCTTCTCCCTCTGCCTATGTCTCTGCCTCTGTGTGTGTGTCTCATGAATGAATAAATAAAATCTTTTTAAAAATGCTTTTAAATAAAACAAAATAAAGAGGCCCTATCTCCAAATACAGTCACATTAAGGGCCAGGGCTTCAATATATGAATTGGGGGTGACATGATTTGGGCCATAATAGCTTCCCTGTCCCTGAGGACAGGAGCTCAGAGGCAATGTTTTCCAGTGAGTGGTTCCTGGAGGCCCTTAGCAGGACCTCCCAACCTGCTGCCCACAGAAGTACCCCGCTCGTGAGCACCCCTAGGGTTGCCTTCTTCCCTCTCACTTCCCCATCCCATACAGGTGCCTCCTGGGACTATACAACCAACTCAGCCTTGTGCACCAGAAGCCTGGTCACAACAGCTGTTCCTGGGGGCCCCAAACTTGCCCAGTGTCCCAATGCCAGCCCTGGCCTGGGTGCCCAGTTGCAGGCAGAGGAGGGGACTGATGTCGGAGTCCCTTGGGGCCAGGGGTGGGCACTGCCTATACAACTTCAGAATCCCAGTATGGACACCAGAGTCTCTTTCCCAGGGAATTTGGGACTGAAACCAAGAGATTCTAGCTCAGGTTGAAGAAGAGCTCTGAAAATGGGCACTGGGGGTGGCCTCCTTTCCCCATGCTGGGCACTGAGATGCAGGGGAAACAGATTTGCAGGGAAGTAGAAAGGAGAGTAGAAAGACACAGAAGCGAGTAGCTGGGGCTTTGATGAGGCTCTCCCTCTGCTTTCTCTTCTGAGCCTTCTCAAAACATGCACTGTGTCCTAGGACACGTTCTTTTTTGCTTTAAAGCATCCTGGGTTGGTGCCCCAGTCACTACTGGTGCATAACGAATGACCCCAACATTGAGCACCTTGAAACAACCATGTTCCCGTTCTTCCCAATCTCCAACTAAGGCCAGGAATTCAGGAAGGGCTCAATAGGGTGGCTCTGGCTCAGGGTCCCACAGGTAGGTGAGATAATTGTTCGTTGTGTATGCCACTACATTTGGAGGCAACTTGTTACATGGCAATAGGTAACAAACACACCTAGAAAACAGCAGATCTGGGACCTGGACTGAGCTCTGAGTCTACAATTAGTGTTTTCTTCCTTAGAGTACATTGAAGCTCCAGGCCCAGGTAGGGCTGGGAAAACTTAGGGAGATGGAGGGGGTGATGGTTAAGCAGACTTAACTCCTCAAAGGGGAGGATAAAAGTTTTGTGAACCAGCCTGAGACACAGAAACAAGACAGATGGACATGCAAGGGTACAGAAGATGGTTTGACTCCTGCCTGCTTCTTTACAAACGCTTTTTGGTTTTAATATTAATGTGTGTGTTTGGGTCTTGTAATTCTACCCAACTTGTAATTATTAAAAATTTTAAACCCACTGAGAAGAGTAGTAAAATGAATACCTATATCCCTTTACCTAAACTCACAATTAACATTTTGCCACATTTGCTTTACTACGTTCCCAAATTTTCCTAATGCAGTTAGAGAAAAGTATGCAAGAGCTAAATATGCAGCTCAAATTCTTGCAAACACCAACATAAGTATGTGCCAGAACCCTGCCAGTGACAGAGGCTGCCCTTTTGTTCCACCCAGTCACCACCCCCTCTCCCTCGACCAAAGGCAACTACTAGTGTGACTGTCACACCATATTGATGAGATAAATCTGAGACGAGATTGTTCATCTCTAGGGGGAGGGTCAGATTCCCTAGAGAGTCAGAAAAAAGATCTTCAGGCCTCTCTCCAAGATGAAAATGCAGGCACACACATAACATTTGGCACTCAATTTGAAAAGATGCCCAGTGCTGAAGCTCATCTGGTCAAGAACAGAAGCAGGTGGAGCTGGTTGGAGGGGGATGGGGGTTGCTGGGAGACCCTGGGCTCAGGCAGCTCTGCAGGTGGGCCCTAAGGAAAGAGTCCTCCTCCTTCTTTGGGAATCCAGGTCCTCTCCCCAGCTCCTCTACGCAAGCATTCAGAGGCATCTTTTGCATGAATGCCGGCTTTGTGTACAGGACTTTGTCAGTGTGGGCAGTGTTGTCGAGAACAGCTGTGAGCAAGCAGAGGCGTTTGTGATGACAGATGAGATTGTGAGCACATGTGGGATGTTTTAAAATCTAAATCTTATTTTCATTCAGGTAGGGTCAGGCCAACAGATCAAGAGATTGCCACTAAAGAAACAGTCACGGTTCTCATGTAGAGCCACATGAAAGAACATCCGTGGGAGGGCAGTGAGAGAGGGTATTGATTGTGGGTTTTGTTTTTTTTTTCTTACAGGAGAAAATGGGCAGTCGGGTAAAGCAGGCTAAGTGGGTTTAAAATTGGCTGGTATGAATAATTTCAGCAGGCTATGGAGTGTAAGGTCTGTCCCTAGTTGTCTGTCCCTAATTGTCTGCTGCCTGACCCTGGGATTCAGGCAGGGAGAGTGGCCCACACAAGAGAGCCCCCACCATAAAGAAACTGGTCAGAGGTGGTTAGTTTGCATAGGAAAGGCATGCTCACAGGCAAGCCTTTTGCCATCTCACTTTACCCTGAGGAGATGGACTCCTCCAGAATTAGCAAGGCCCCAGAGGCTTCATAATACTGAAAAAACAAAGAATGTGGCTCATACAGTTCAGGATACAAGAACTCTCCTAAGTGCTTCTGTGCATTAGCTCTCTTGGCCCTCACAGCAAAATCAGGAGGCAGGAGAAAGCAAATCTGATAAAGATGTGAGAAATACTTCCTGCAGGCTGACGAGAGGTTTATTCACACGGTGGCAAGGGAGTTCGAATCCCCACGGGGAGTCCCCTCCAAAGGAAAGACACTGGGTTCTAGGAGATGTGATAACCAGCAGACGGGAGACGATTATGGAATGACAGGATGTTTTGATCAGCACAGAGAAGAGCAGGGCTGTGTGGAAGAGGACTCAGCGCCCCATTTCCTTAGAAGCTACAAATGAGGTTAAATCTGCAAGACTGAGTCCAGAAATGCCTTATCAGAAGCTCCAAACCTGGGCTGAAAATCGAGGCTGTCTCTGTGTTGATGGGGTTCAGGGTACGTCACCCCCAAATATGGCACCTTGGCACTCTATGCTAAGCTGAAGGAATTTTAAGTAATAGCAGGCGCAGGAAGGTCACTCTCACCCTTCTTCCCTGAAACAGGTCATAAAACTCCCACATGAGAGGTCCCCTCCCTGTACCAGGGGAAAGAGGACATTCTCATCACCAGAGAGAGGGAAACGGGGGCCGAGATATCTGCACAAAGCTTGTTAATTCACCTGTATCTTCCTCACCACCGACTACCCATAGCCCCAACCCCTCTGTGTTGTCAGGTCTTCACACATTTGTCTACTGGGTATAAAAGCTCCCTGCTCTGGGCGCGGTCTCTGGGTCTTCATTTAAGCAGGAGGAATTAATTAGAAATAAGCAGAATCTGAAGAACAAACCATAAACCAATGAATCTGAGGAACTGGGATTCCTGGGAGCCAGTCTGTGTGTAGGCACCAATGGTTCCTACCCAGCTGGGCCTCATGGGGGTCTGGGGCAGGGGCTCCCTTGGCAGTTTTTTTTTTTTTTTTTCTGTATTTCTCCACTGGGTGGAGACACAGAACACACTGTGAGCGTCCCTTTCAATTTGCTGGCACAGTGTTTTGTTTCTCAGAGGCGAGTGAGGGTGGGACAGACTGGCTGCACCCAGGGGTCTAAACTTTGACAGTAAGACACCACATCCATCTGGTGCTCAGACTACACTCGAGCAGACCACAGCTGCTGGGGAATTTGCCAAAAGCCGGAAAGCCTGCGCCCACCAGACAGCTTAGCCAAAGATCCACCCTCCTCTGCAGAGTTTATACCTAAAATTCACCCCATCTCGAAAGGGGCTTTTCATTCCTCAATTTTTATGTTTTTCTAAGTATTTTAAAGACATCTAAAAAAAGAAAAAACAGTGAGATAAGGTCTGTACTGAATTAGTAGTATTGTCCTAACATCGATTTCCTGATTTTAACACTAGACTAGACTTAAGATACATTCAGGGAAAAAAAAAAAATTCCTGATTTTGACAAGGTAGTATAGTTATATAAAATATGATCACTGGGGAAAGCTGGGTGTGATACAATAAAAACTCAATATTGGTCTTTGTTCTGGGTTCCTGGCACACAAGTCCTGAAAGCTTTGGGAATCTAGAGTGACAGAGTTCTCCTTTATGCCAAAAATGTGACTGGGGGCCATCAGGTTGGGGGCTGATTGCCAGAAAGGCCAAGACATGGTCAGAGGGTCAGAACTTTCAGCCCCACCCCGGACATCCAGGGAGGAGAGAGGGCCTGGAGGTTGAGTTAATCACTAGTGGCCAATGGTTTAATCAATTGTGCCTACGTAACACAACCTACTTAAAACCCTCAACACTGGAGTTCAGAGAGCTTCCAGGTTGTTGAACACACTTAGGTGCCAGAAGGGTGGCAGAC